GGGAAACCCCTCCACTTCTGTACGCTTAGAAATTCTCTCCATAAAAATTCCGAACAGAATCGGTGGCAAAGGGCAGCTCGGGAAAAGTGCAGCACCCACTGGGAACTAAGACCAAACTCTCAGTGTGGTTTCACAGAGACCGAATCGCTCATAGCAACCAGCCAGATGGTCCAAACGTCAGAAGCGCCCCCACAGGATGGAATGTGTGGATCGGTTGGATATACTCCCACACACACTCGGATGCTCCAGAGAGGACAAAGAGGAAACATGCATTATTCCGTCAAAGTTCCTGACTAACAGACAGAATCTCCTCTTTAGTATCCCTGCATACAATATTGTGCAAAAGTCTTGAGTAATTCCTTTTAAATTTAAAGGACTCCCGAGTAATCGTTCTCCAGGCTTTTTGAAGCTCTATCAAATGTTTTCTTTGGACATTGGCGGCTTTTTCTGTCCACTCTCTGTACCTGATCATTTTCAATCTTTTTCAAATTAAATGCTTAAATTACATTTTTAGGCACTTTGTCACTAGCAGCCTGTCATAAAACACATCATTTGTTCGCATTACTTCTGTTGAATCTACAAGTGATACCAAAGATAGCACAGTTTGACAGAAATAAAATAATATTGTGCAGCAACAAGGTGATACCCAACCAGCTATTAGTCAGGTGGCCTTGTCATAAACGCCTCTTTCAGGTCTCTCTTATTCTTATTTCTGCCACGCCCACCACTGTAACCAACAGTCTCTGTGTCACAACACAGCTCAGCCTTACATGTAAATGTATGCAAAGACTTCCCATCAAAACATCCCCCTAAATAACCTTTAGGGATCAGTAACTCTGCAGGTTTAGCAGACAGTGGTGCCTTTAGAAACCAGTTTATCGCCCAGTGTCCCAGTACTCCACAAATCTCACTTTATGTTCCTTTCCTAAATTATTTTTCAAGGTAATTAATATGCACAGAGTACTAACTTTATGTGCAGTTGTATACTGCAATAATAATATATGAAACTCACACTGATTTTGTTGCACTCTAATGCTGATCAGTGCATGCACAGAGCATGCACTGCACCACGAGAGCTGCAGTTCTTCTGCATGAACCTGCTGTTTCCTTTAAAAACTGTGTTTTTATTTTCTGTGCCTATTATTTTGCTTTACAGGGTGAGGAGGGCGGAGTTAAGAAGAGCATCCTGGATGTGGATCCAGAGGCCCAGGCCCTGATGGAGATCACAGGGAAGACCATGCACAGTCAGGGCCTCAGAGAACCAGAGGACGACCAGGAGTGACTGTAAACACACCCAGCT